TAATTTTCCTTGTGGATCAATAAAATTTGTCTAAGTCTAATTCTACTAAAAGGTTCGCTATGTAACCATTGGAGGGTCCTTCACTTATCTCTGTCTCAATGTCTCTCCTCATAGAGACAAGCCAGTGACATCAGTTGTCAAGTTACAGGTCTGATCTGTGAACAGGCAACTCCACTGACAATAAGAACAGTTTTTCTAGGACTCTTTAAATTAAAAACATGAATAACTGAATATATTAAAGATATGTTTAATGACATACTGAGTGAAACATTCCAGGCAAAGGAATATCTTATCCATGGACATAAAAAAGTGAAGGTACCCAGCTTGAAAAGTTACATAGTTTTCTCGTGTGTCTGCTACCTTCTTGTCTCCATGGAGGTGTTTTTGCTTTCCCTGGAATTTTCTGTGGTATGACTTTAAGCATTTCCATCTATCATTTTTCATTACATATGTTCCTATTGCTCAAAAATACAAGAATTCCTTCTGTGAATAGGAGCAACTCTCCACAGATCTGAATTGTAATGTAGCCTTGTGCTCTAATGGGCTTGTCTCCCTTGTGATAGATGGTTTAAAGTATACTGTGGAACTTTCTAGACAAAGCAAAAACATTTCCATAGAGACAAGCAAGTGCACCTTTAAGTAAAAATATTCAGAAATTGTACTTGGATGGATAAAGTCTTCATGCTCCAGCTCCGGTGTAGGCACATTATAATGTAACAGCACAGTACTACTTAAAGACCACATGGTGTCGCTGTTGTATACTGGAGGAGGTGGGACACGGATTGCGGCTCGTTTGACATTGGAGTCCTTCACACTAATCTTTGCAGTGAGCACAGCGCACGTCACTCTCTAAACCCAACATTTGGAGACAGAGCCTGTCAAAAACTGAATTGTGTTTTAGATGACATACAAGCCAATGTTTTCTTCTATTTTCAGTTTATTTGCATATAGAAAGGTTACAAATGATCCGTTACAGTGCTGCATGTAGTCGCTTAAAAACTTGCCAGACGCAGATATGTTTGCCGTTTTTAATGTCAAACTTTTACAGTCATCTTCATACCAAACCATTCGCCAAGATCTCGTCCTTCTAGTCATAGCAAATGCAATTAGTTCATAATGTAAATACAGTAAAGATTCAGCAAAACAAAATTAAAAATTAAATAAAATTATAAAAACCAAAGAAAATCTCAGCCAGCCTCGTATAAAACAAACAGTTTTTTTCAACCATTTTTCTCAAGTGCAGATTTTGTAAGCATGCCATAGTCTTGTTCTGGTTCCATTTGCCTGGTTTCTACAGTGTAGTTTTAAATCTGTACATGGCTATTAGTTAATAACAGCGTAAGGGGGGATGACAGCTTCACCATGTCCTCGAAGTGTCCTATTAAAAAAGTAGTCTTGATTAGTGCATGGTACATGATTGGTGTTCACCGTCTCCCCTTTTTGTTTTGCAGTAGTAGACCCAAACATTTTTAAACGTGCAAGTATAAAAAAATTACACACGCCCACACAGATTCATATACAGGAGTTCTGCTTGAGGAGTGGTTGAAAGGTGCTGTAATGAACTGCCATAAAACAGCAGAATATGAAGTAAAATCTCTGCCACTTTTCTAAGAGGCAGGGCTGCGTTGAGTCTATTCCCAATCTGACTTTTTTTTTTTAAGTTCTTCAACATTCCTGTCAGTCAGTGTCCATCCATACCCTGCTATATTGTTGCTGATTGTTTATCACCAGTTTCTTCTCAAAGTCTGTCAAGTTGAGAGTGCTCATTAAGCAGCCATGTTGGGAAGGGGAGGGGCTTTTTTCCGGAGCTACTCGTATAGGGAGTCATCAGTGGAGTTGAGTGGAGTTCTTAAGGTATATACAATGTCGGCTCACATACATTATAGAGGCGCTGGGAAAATCCTGTTCTAATTTGTAGTGTTCCAAGTTGTCTTCCAGTGTATAGGAACCAAGCAGCAAGAGTTTCTGGCAGTAAGAATGCCAAATATTACGATTTACAGTAGTAGGCTAAACATGAAGGCAGTGGATGGATAGTGGACAAACTTCATTTCTCTCTTTGACCTTAGCCGCAGTCTAGACAATTTTTTGTCTGTTATGAGAACAAGTAACTCACAAGCGAATAATTATATTTTGACGCCTCTTACTTACTTTGGCATTTTATCAGAGACGGCCAAAGAAGCAAATGATTAGCCATCTGGTGTGGTAGAGATCCAATTTTCTGAGACAGGGCAAAACGCACAACCTACATCGCATACTATTACTTTTTGGGTATATATAAAGCAGTGGTGGTATATAACGAAGTAAATATTAGGTAACTGTACTTTACTTGAGTACATTTTGAAGAAGACACTTTTTACTTTTAGTTCTCTACATTTGAAGATACTGTATCTATACTTTCTATTGACTGAAAAACCTGTAAATAAATCAAGTTGTTTCTGTTGAACAAAATCACTACATCTGAAGCTTTATTGGATCTCAAAATCTGAGCAAAATACTTTTTAATTTTTATTCTTAAAGTTTAAATAGAGACTTTAATACTTTAACTTCAGTAGATTTTTCATGTGATACTTTTACTTTTACTTAGGTATTTATTTTACTCTGGTATCTATGTATGTGCATAAAAAAATTACTTCTCCCACCACTAATATAAAGCATCAGGTATTTTATAACTATACTATCATTGCATTGTATGGCTTGACATTATATTTGGTCAGGCTCTAGATGGCCTAAATTTGACACAAATATAAAATTCAGTTTGTCTAAGCAACTGTTGTCCACTATTCTTCCTCTGTCTTAAAACACCGCTCACATTTCCTGAGTCTTTTGCATCAGCGTGTATCAAATCAATTCTCACCTGATCTAAAACAACCAGGAAATTCAAAACGAGACACACTTTTCCTGGCTCTCACTAGCTTAACTACTATTTCCTACTCTCACATTAAGGGGGTCAGGAGAGTTGGAGGAGAAAAGGAAACTCGTTAAAACCAAGGGGACGACCTAACCCTATTATCCCCTATCACACTCCTGATGATGAGAATTAGTATATGGCCTGGATCCACACCCACTCACCAGAGCAGTGCAGCGGAGTGTGTCTCTGGCTGCTGGGAAGGGCGAGATCTGGAAAAGCGCGTTATCTCCACCAGTCAGAAGCAGCCGTCTGGGCCGACCCACTGAAAAAGGGTTCTGACTGCAACTTTGTGCTGACAACATTGTGTTCTGCCGCCCGTAGCAACCTCCTCACTTTTTGGGTGATGGAAAAGTTAAAGAATCCACTGAAGATTGGCTCCCCGGCTGCCTTCATCACCTCCGTCCCCGTAATAGCTTACTGTGTATTCAAAAAAAGGCATGGGACTGTATCCAAAAAAGTGTTGTAAAAAAGAGAAAAATGTTCCTTCATGCAAGAGTCCTTTTTATTTTTTTATAGATTTGGTTTCTCTATGAGTCCTACTTACAGTATGCAGAGTAGTGCGTATTCCCTTGTCGATACGTACAGAAGATGTCATTGAAATTCCCTTTAATGAAGCCCTACATAGCAGTCAGAAAGATGAGTGATTATTTAAGTACATTTCGTGTTTAAATATTAGCTGGAGGGTAGCAGGCAAAAATGCTTGAGTTAGTTTTAATTAGGCAATATGTTCAGAGTATGACAGCACATACACGCATGGGGTGAGGGTCCAGTTTTTTCTTATGTGCTAATGTAGCCATGTCTGTGTGTAAAATGTATTTGATGTCTACAGCAGTAAGGAATAACATTATGGCCATCAGTGGTGGTTTAAATATTACGCGTTATTCTAACCACCTAGAGCAAATACCACCACCAAACTACCTGCTTGATACAGCAACTTCCAAGAGCAGCAGTTATGGAAATGCTCTGACTTCAGTTGTCAATTTTAGCTCAGAAACATTTCACTATTTTTCTTTTTTTGCTGCTTCTTCAGAAAAATTCCACTCGCAAACAGGTTAGGTTTAGGAGCTTATCTGCGTGTCATAATGTTATTCCTGCACAGTGTGTTTCTCTACGTTAAATGCTCCACTTTGAGATTACCATGTGTGGACTTGCGTTCTAACATGAACTATTTGACTGTATTTGCATGCTAACTCGTACTTGTGTCCATGTAGGCGTACGAGTACTACCAGTGACTGGAGTAGTACTCTGGTGTAGTCAGTGGTGAATGTGGTCTATTACACACATATGTACATACTGACCAATCAAGCAGGCCAAAAGAAAATGCTGCGTTGACACTACAAACCCTTGTGTCCTTGCTCACGGTACAAAACTATTCACATTGTAGCAGTTTGTTCAGAATTCTTTGCGTTTTCCACAGATACCTGATTTTTTCCGGGATCAGCACATTTTTTCTTGTAGTTACTGTACACAGCGAACACTTTGTTGCTATTTTCATCCAGTACTTAAGACTTTGTTCTCATGGGAGTTGTGGCTCTGATCGCTCCACTTTCCCAGATTGTAGCGATAAAGGTTGATTATTAGCCATGAGAAAGTTATGTTTTTTGTAATGAATCCCACCCAAAACACTGCTATCAAAGTTGTGTTCTATTTTTACTCGATAAGACCTTGGTGGTGGTGAGCTCATCCAAAGCTGGCATAGTGGTTTCATATGAGGCGTTTATAGCATTTGGATTGCTCACTATTTGTGTTCTTCACTCAGATCCCTGTTTTTCAAAGGGTCAGACATGCACTGGAATCAGATACACAGAGATGAAGTTGTCCACCTCTACAGATGTTGATAGGATCATTGCCCAGAGGCAGTCAGTAGTTAAAAAAATCTCCTTAAGAAAGTTAGCTCCCGTCAGTCCATCCTCTGCCTGCTTAAGTGTAAGTGCCTATAAATATTGGTTAGAATCCAAAAGGTTCAGTTTGATACATGAAAAGCTTTCATCTCTGACATTTTCACAGCATTAAGAGGCTTCCCAAAATGTGTTTACAAGCTTTAATGTCTTAATACTGGCTTTTCAGTAAAGTGGTAGTTGCAGGTGATTTCTGGGTCGTGCAGCTTGTCACAGATACACTTCTCTCCGGGACAGGGTGAGGCAGGATGTGGTCTTGTAGTCCCCTCCTGTTCGGGTTAAGGGTATGACCTCTGGTGCTTCCTGGCTCTCCCCGGCCTCCTCGTCCCCAGGTTGGCGCCTGCCGAAGCCAGCGCTGCTGAATGTGTCGTAGGAGGCGGACGTCATCTTGCGGTTCAGGAGGTTGCGGTTGTGGTCGCCCATGTTCCTGTTGCCGAGTGTGCCGAGGGGATCCCCATTAGCCAAAGGTAACCTCTGACCCTCTACGCTGACCACCACTCCAGGCTCTGAGCTGCCCGCGCTGCTCTCACTATCGCTCTCATGGTGGTTGTTGCCGCGGAGATTGTTGTTGTCGTCCCCCGGTGCGAAGGTGGAGAGTCGTGGGGGGTCGCTGCCGTGGCGTGGCCGGCGGGGGGAGGAGCGGACGGGCATCCAGCAGGTGTCTGAGTGACCAAACTCATCACACTCACGGGTGCACTTCCCGGTGAGGGCCACATCTGGCAGCTGCCTGGCATCTAATAAAGAAAAGAAGATTTGTGAAGTCAAATGAGCCCAAATAGATTATACAGTACGCAGACCAAAGGAGATTAGAGCAGAGGTGGAAACGATGACTCACATTTAATCTGTTACAAATACGTTTAGTTATTGAGTAAAGAGGTTGTCACTGAGTAGTTTTCAAATACTCTACTGTGCTGTAAATAGTACTTTTTAGTGTTGTAAAATTTTATATAGATATTTAGAAATGTCCCAATTATCATTAAAACATAATCTCATAATACATTTAAACTGTCAGTATTTAGGTAGTTTTATTGCATTGGTATATTATTTTTTTTGTCTTGAGTTATAGGCATATCATTTTTAAAGCAATACACTAACGACAAAGTAGGATGTGTATGCAAGAAAATGTGGAAGTCACAGCTTGTTTGCTGACTACCACACTAAATCTTAAGGGTGATGGTAAAAGTTCAAAGGTCAGATGAACCAAACAATTTAAAGTGTACAAAATGGCCATTATTAGTCATTTGAATGAGAGTATTCAATATTTTCCATTGCTGCATTTACATAGGGGCAATTATAGATCCCATGAGAAAAAGTTTAAAAGATCATCGAGCCAATAGAGACCAGTGCTGGTGAACTGGAGGGTTAAGTGTCAAAGGGTATTTGTAAATCTTTCATTCATAAATCAATACCTATGATAGATTCTATACAAATTGGCCACTGAGTAAAAAAATAATTAGCATATGTATACCCTACACCATCACTCTAAAGCATTTCAAAACCTTTTCAATTTTCTACTAGCAGCTCAGATAAATGCATGTGAAATCAAATAGGCAAATAATTATTCAGCTTAATTATAGACAGCACAATGGATTCTCAGTCCAATCCGCCTCTCCATCTGACCATGACCAAAAGTTATTACAGGGCATAACATCTTAAGGACTTTTGCATATTGGTGAAAAACGGCATTAAAAAAGAAGCACATCTGCAGAAGTACAGTCTGTCATCTGAAGGTCAGCACAACCTTGGCCACTGGCATCAACCTCTACAACAGACTTATAAAAGAAAAAATAGCATACTTAATTTATTTTTAGTTGTGCAAGGAAAAGCACATAGAACTGAAAATCAAGGCAACGCACAAGGGACACGACAAAGAACATTATTTTTAAGGCTTTTTGTAAATGTGTGTAGTTAAGTGTACAGTTGAAGTAGTACTTGGGGTTTTCGATAACTATTTCAAAATGCCGATGGTAAAACAAGGACTTTTGCTTGTAAAGATATTTTTCCACCAGGGCACAGCGTCAAACAGCCAAAAGGTAGAATTTAATATCAGTTTAAGGATGCACTAACTTTTTAGTTGAGGGTCCAGCACCTGCTTATTTCTATGGAGATGTCATTGCTCTGCCTGGAATATTCCACAGTTGGACATTAAACAGCTCTACCTTACATTTATTAAATTACAGGTGGTTTTATAACTCAAAAATACCTAGAAAAACATTATGACCGTGAGTGGAGTTGCCTTTCACAGATCTGACCTGTAACTTGGTCTGGTTTGGTCTCCATGAAGATTGAAATGTTTAATGCCACACTGTGAAACATTCTAGACAAAGCAATAACATCCCCATGGAGAAAAGCATTTGCTGGACTCTCCACTAGAAAAGTTACACAGTGCACCTTTAAATTATGTGTGATCTACCAAAGAACTATACATACATGCAACCATAAATTTAAATAATAATAATATAAGAGGAATGTGTACAGCATATTTTAAGATGAAGTGAACTGTATATATTGTACACACTATGCAGAAATAGAACATTTTCAGCTTTATTCCAAATCGGGGAATACAAGTATTTCATAGTATAACCCATTTGTCAAAAAGAAATATTAACACAAATGCATTGGTCTGGAACAAAATGCAGCAGTTTTCCTAAATAGAAAAGACTCCTGAGACAAATTTTTCATAAAGGTGTTCAGTGCTGGAGTTACACACTGCATAAATACACAGCAACTGGAATCCTCTAGACAGCCATTGTTATTAGACCAAATGGCTTTTATATTCCTGTCACGATAACACATCCTGAGTGTTATTGCGATAAACGATAATACTGTGGCCAAAACTCCTTGTCAAAGCCGGATCTCATCAGAAGTGAAGCAGGACTGGGACAGGTTAGAATTTGGGTGGGAGATCGCTGGGAAAATCAGGTGCCACAGGAGGGCGTGGGCGTCGTTGTGTCCTTAGGCAAGACACTTCAGTAATAATGGATCACTTATATATAGTGCTTTTCTGGACACTCAAAGACAAAGATGCTTTAAAGAGCATTACTCATTCACTCCACACTCACCGTTGGTAAGATACTATTGTAGCCACATCTGCCCTGACCAACACGCACAAGCCACTTACATACTAGGCAATGTGGGTGAAGTGCTTCTGAGATCTGAGGGGATTACTTCACCCACATTGCCTAGTATGAAAGTGGTGTGAGTGTGAGTGTTGATGGTGGCTGAAGGAACAGATGGTGCAAATTTATCAGCCTCACTTGCATTGTTCTGCCCTAGGGTAGCTGTGGCTACAATCGCAGCTTCCCATCACCAGGTAATGAATGAATAATGCAACAAATTGTTAAGTGACTTTGAGCGTCTATATAAATCTGATGCATTATTATTATTATTTTATTTTATTTATATAATGCAAGATAATCCCAGTAAACCATTTTAAATACACAGTATCATTGAGCCCCAAAATGTATTGTATTCCATCTTTCATATATTGCAGGAAACGTCGCTATAGTAATTATCATGACAGACCTAGGCTTTTATTAGCTGTTTATATTGTGGCATGTGTGTGTGTGTGACTGCTCTGACCGTTCTCCACATGCTCCTCTTCACCCACACTGCCCTCTGGAGTGGTCCGCTCGTAGCCCTCTTCAGGCAGGGGTAATGCCCCCAGTCTGGGCCCTGATGAACTCTTACTGCTGGGCGTCTCGGAGTCCTCCAGGCCACTGTCGTAGCAGCCGCCATCTTGGGCCTGGTTAACCACAGAGAAGGTCACCCGCCGGAGGGTCCCCTACAGAAAAAACACAAACATACACAATATGGGTTTAATCATCCATGACTTCTAATCTGAGTTGCTAAAGGAGGGATTAGGCGTATGGGCAGGGCTCACTGGCAAAGATGTGCTAAGATTATCTGCGTGTTCTCCTTGATTATGGGTTTAGCAGCTACAATGCAGGCAATAGTCATGGACCAATCAGGGAAGTTTTTGTTTAAGGTTTAATCCTGGTTACAGATGATTGCAGCTGGATTTTGGGGTTGGTGTGTTTACAAATCCATCGTCCCTTATTTATTTTCTATTGGACCACTGCCCGCTGCAGCTGCGTAGTCTGGTCTGGTGTAAATAGTGTGCGTGCCACATAAGCAGAGTAACCCAGGTTCAAATCTCTGCCCAGATGGGAATTAAATTAACAAATATATTCACAGTTTATCTAAAATTGTGTTATCGACGTTTTTAAGTATTTACTTTAATCACAATGGTATTATGGTGAAACCTTAGGCCAAATTTAGATTAACACAGAATAACATTAGGATTAAATAGGTTTATTAACTGTGCTTTGTTTAGTTAATTATGGGCCTAAGGTAAACACAAACAGTGTGAATGAATGAAAATGTAATGTAAAATAAAAATGTATCATAATAATTTAAATACAACAAAAACTTACAATAATATATGATGTCATCTTTTTCATGCAATTATTTTCTATGTTCTAATTTAATAATACTAGATTAATATTTAATAATCTAGTTTAATTACAGTTAAACTACGTAAAATGCATCATTTTAACTCACATAAAAATAAATCAATACAAAAAACTTAGATATTACATACATTTAAATCCAAAATTTCCCCAATTTCTTCTATTTTATTCATTTTTTCTTATTACTGTTATTACTATTGATATTATTTTTTACTACAGATGCATTTCTAAAACACCCAATGCAGGGGTGTCAAACTAAAATTCACAGAGGGCCAAAATTAAAAACTGGGACTAAGTCGTGGGTCAAACTAAATATTTACTGAAACATTTCAACAACATCTGCATGTTTTTTCTTCTTTCAAAATATGTTAAACCTTTTCTTATTAAAATATATGTTTGATGTACCCACAGAAAACCCAGGTTAACATGCGGCTATTATTGATGTCTTAGAAAAATACCTGAAGCCCACCAGACTCCTTTGAATAAACAAAATCTAAAAATCACAGGCACAGGCGGGTAACACCACTGACATCCCTACAGCTTGTAAACTCACTGCAACTCAGAACTAAATTTGCATATTCAACCTGCTACAATCTACAAGTACAAATTACCACATCTAGAAAGTCTTTTTCATGAGTTGGTGGGAGAAACAAAATGCACACAGAAAGCCCATAATAAAGTGTGATGGGGGAGAATATGAGAGAGCGTTAAGTGACTCCATCTTGCCTGGAGGGACCACTCTGCACTGGGACGCATTATTTCTATAAAACACCCTTCCAATCTTTCCACTAATTTATCTGGGGAAGTTACGGTCCTTCTAATTTAGATCTACTTTGAAACATGCTGGATATAGACTCATATTAAAATGAAAATTCTTCTGGAAAATCTAGAAGAACAGCAGATAGCCTTGATAAAATATAACCTATTTTACACCAAAATCGAATCAGGTTTGCAACATAAAATTAAAGGGCCCATACTATACTATTTTCTGATTTATGTTATAATGCTGTTTCCTCTTTCCAGACAAACCTGGAGCTGTGTTTTGTTTCATTCACACATGTTTAACCAACAAATCCTGAAGTTCTTCTCTTATGGAAAAGACTTTGTTCCACCTTGTGATGTCATGTGGTAATACAGGAAGTGCTCCACTGTGTTTTTAAACTCCATACACCTTCACTAGAATCATTCGGATAACTTCAGCCCTGGAACTGCCAATCTCTACTGAACAAAAGATGAAAGATAGCTGTTAACTAAAAAAGTATCACGTCATGGCATGACATCACAAGGTGGAACAGAGCATTTTGAGCTTTTGGAAGCATAGACAAACTAATAATACTCAAACATGTGTGAATGAAACAAAACACAACTCCAGGTATGTTTCTGAGGAGGTAGGTACACTATTCTAACACGACTAAAAGGTCACATGAGTCAATTTTTCATAATACAGGACCTTTAAAGAAAACTAAGATATTTCAACATTTCATGACATATTTAAAGGTGCACTATGCTTGTTACCAAAGAGATGTTATTGCTTTTCTTAGAATATTACACAGTATTGCAATAAACTTCTCTGTCACCATGGAAACAAGTAGATGTCGACATCAGACCAAGTTAGAGATCTGAGGACAGGCGACCCCGCTCACAATTAGAATGCATGTTATAAGACATAAGCAGATATAGAAGGCGGAACACTAGAAAACGTAAAAATAAAACAAAGTTAATTAAAAAAAAAAATAATAATTGTGATGTGCTGGTTTAGTCCTGATTCAGTCCAGGTTTTAGGTCCAGGTTTAGTCCCACTTCAGTCCCAACTGACTATGACTATGATTTTACCACTAAAACTTTCAACTTTTATACACCGTTGCGTTCTGTTTTAGTGAAACTGACAGATAATTTCTTTTGAATTGATATTGCAAACTGAATTGGTAAATGCAAACAACATTAATCTTATTTTGTGTGGGCCCAACTATAAAAACATTTCACATAATGAGATATAACAAGACAAGAGAGCAGAGGTACACAAGCTAATCAATTAGGCAGAGGCGAAAATGAACTGAGCGCTTCCTTCTGGTGCCACTTCTTAACAGTTGAGGAAAAGTTAGTGTGACAGCGAGGGACTATGGGTACAAACACTGGTGGCGTGAAATGTATTAGAGCTGATGCAGAAAGCAGCAGTTCTAGGGAGAGTTTCTTGTTACTTTATAATGCTCTATAGAGTCCCATGTATTTTTAGAGCAATCGCTAACAAGGAGATGACTCAACCTATTTCCCTCATTCCTCAAGTACCGTGGCGCAATATTGAGAATAGAACATGACAGAATGTTTGAGACTTGAAATAGGAAGTGCATTAGACATTACATGAGGTGAAATAAAGGCCGTGTATACCAGATTTTTCCCTATGAATTAAAGCGCCAGTACAGATACTTTATATTGCATAAGCCACTGAGGTCAAACGTCTGCTGTGTGCCGTCTGCAGGATTGGCACAAGATATTTTTTTTCTTGGAGGAGCTATGGCAGGGCTGAGTTCTTTAATGGGGGTGCATGTTTAACATGTAAATATGGAGCCTTTTAACAATGGAGACGGCACCCATGTTTTAAACAAGTTATGATGTAGTTAGGCCCTGTAGTAATTTATGAAACATTTTTAGTCATGATTGGATGTTGAATAAAAATGGGGCAAACATCTACCATGGAAAACTATGGTGGTGCATTAGTGCGTCTAGGGCAGTCAAACTGCGGCCCATGGACCGACTCCGGCCCTCCACGCCCCTTTGACTGGCCCCCCAACCCCTCTGTCCCCAACCACTTGAAATGACCCTATGAGACAATCCTCAAAACTTGTCATGGCCTATTTTTTTTAATTACTTTTTGGCAAATACTAACATGATGGCATCTGGTATTTTGTTGATTTTTTCAATTAAAAAATAATATTTATATGAAGTATTTATATTTAAATAATTATATGACATATTTACATTACTGCTGAATTTGCTGCTGAATATTCTTCATCTGAAAAGCTCGAGATCAAACAGTGACGGTCAGCAAACGTGCAGAGTACTGTAGTGCAGTTAAGGACTGCAAAATGGAGAGTGTAAGTAAGTACGGACAAACAGAGAGTGCAGAGTTTTCAAAGAACAGTGGACAACCAATTATTTCTTATTCAGTATAAGGACTGTGCAGTTTGTCTGATATGTGAAAAAAGTGTGGTGGTTTTCAAAGACCCTGCGTAGTCAGGGTCGTTCAATTCTGTTATTCAGCCTACGAAACCCCGCCTCCCCATCACAGTCAGGAGTGATAATGTGGCCCCCAGAGGAAAAAGTTTGGTGACCCCTGCTCTAGAAGAAGCTAGTGTCCCCTCAAGCCCCTGCCTAGTGTTATATCTGGCTGTCTGTACGTAATTAGAAAACATTTTATTGTCTGATAATCAGGAAGTACTTGTTAGCATGCTAGTTGTTGCTGCTCCTGTCTCATGAAAAGCACTTGCGGGTAAGTGAGAAATCATTTTGGACCACTGCAAACCATTTAAAATGAACTAGTTCTGTTTTCACTTTTTAAAGACAGAACACATATTGTACAAAAGTAAATCGTTGTCTATCATGGTCATGATCAAGGACGCCTCCCCTAGCGACCGAGTATGCTAGGTATAAGAATAATAAGTAGAAGACAAATGCATGGTTGACTGGTTTGTTTTGGTTGAAGCTTTTGCGAGATAAGGTAAAACTATCATTATTGTTTATATATTTGCCATTGTCAGATAGTGCCATTTTCTCAAAGGACCTTCAGTTTTCCTTTACAAGGTTTTAGAGTCCTTTATTTTGACGTTGTCTCTCATCTCTAATATTTTTGATACGGCACTGCCTCTATGCCATCACTGGGGATTTACTATAATACAAAAGGCACATATGTCTGTCAGATTCTCGAGAAAATACAAAAAACAAAGCAATTCCACGAGTGAATGAGATTAGGATTGAGGATTTGGGGATTACCATATGAATGTAAATCCAGAGTGTATCGTCATGGGACATGTTTTGATTGACAGCAGTTGAGTTTTCCAATATCTGAAGCTTGCTAGTTGCAGCTTGCACCTTCTATTACAGAGTATATTGGTTCAGGCATGATTCTATCTAATTCAATTTAACTCAAGCTCCCATATCTCCAGGCCAGATAGTGTATGTTGTTTTGCTCTTCTCTTGACTCTCAACTGTTACAAATACTGCCACTGTTACTACATTAAAGATAGTTACTTCTACTTGTATTTCCTGCTGATGTATCACCTGCTTGTTTCTATGTTCCAAAGTATGCTATTAAAAA